ATTATTATGTTATTATTATGTTATTTATGTATTTTATTATTATATTTATTTTTATTAATGTATTATATATCATCATATTATCTCTTTATTATTATATTTATCATATTTTATTAGTTTTATATTCTTATTATTTATATTTTATTTTATATATTAATACACTTCTATTTATATTTAATTTATTATATATTAATATATTTCTTTATCTTATTTTCATTTTGATTATATTTTTATATTTTATATCTATTTTCTCTTTATATTTATTATTATTTATATTATATTGATTTTATTTATTATTTTATTTATACATTTTATTTATTATTATATCATTTCTTTTCTCTTATTATTTCTTTATCATTTATTATCATTCATTTAATTTTTATATCTTCTATCTATATTATATGAATTTATTATTTATTATATATTACATATTATATACTAATCATATAACATTTATAACTGATTAATAATAAACATTGATAATAAATTATATATAAATAAAAATCATAAAAATAAAAAAGAATAAAATAAAATATATCAATAAAATAAAGTTAAATAATTTGCATCAATAAATTTAACAGTTTTTATTTCATATTTCTAATTTCTATAATAAAAAAATACATCCATTATTTCATCATTCTTTTCATCATTTATTTTCTCATTTTGAATTATTCATTTTTATCTTCTTTCATTTTACATTCTCAACATTCTACTTTTATTCTTTCATCATCTTCTACTTCCTAATTTCACTTTTTCTTTCATACATTCTTTCTCTTCCTTTTCTCTCTTTTCATATTTTTAGTTGCTGTATTTTATTCTATCATTTTTAATTTTAAATCATTTTGATTAATACTATTTTCTAATGATATTTCTTTAATTAATTTAAATGTTGATTTATTATATACACTTTCTCTATTTTAATTTGGTATTCTTATTATTATAATATTCTTTTATTGTATAATATTTATAGAAAATATCATTATTTATTTATTAGAATGATGAAATATCAATTTCTATTCAATTTTGTTGAATATTTAAATTCAGTAATGAATGATGAATAAATGTAATTATAGTAATTTATTATTATTCTATTCTTTATTATATTTATATTATTATTACAAAATAATTATAATAATAAATAATCTGATATATCAATGTATAATATTGTTTATTCAATTATCTTTATGGATTATTTTTTTTTAATATTTAAAATATTTGTAACTTCACAAACTCTCTCATTTCTATTCATTCATGTTTCTTTATTTGTGATATTTAAGTATTATTTATATAAGAATAATTCTTGTTTAATTTTAATTCATTTATATGTACATTTAATTAGTTCATTTTCATTTATTGTGTTAATTTAAATATTATAATACTTTTTATTACATATTTTACACATTAAACTAATTTATTATTAATATTTCAAATGTTATAATCTATTCTATTTGAAATAATATTCATCACTTATTCATAAATGAATCAATTAATAATTATGAATGAAAAAGACTCTATATATAAATCAAATCAATGAAATATATAAATAACTAATAACAATATGATAAAAAGAATAAATAATTTATTAATTCAAAAAAATGATATAATTGATGATGTTTTATTCTTCATTTCAATAACTAAATAAAAAGATTAAAAACTTAAAATTAATAATAAAATTAATATAAAGAAACAAAACTTTACAATAATATGAAGTTTATTATCTTCCCTTTGATTTAAATAGATAACATAAATGAAAAATATTAAATATAGAGAAAACAATGAAAATTTATCTATTTTTTTAATCACTCAATTTTTACTTTATTTTTTTTGCTATGAAAGTTTTATAACACATATATATGTAATAGATAAAAAAGAATAAAACTGGTCTATTATTTGATATAACTATTGTAGTATATCATAATATTAATTGAGTGTATTTAAAGAAAAGAAATATCTATAAAGAAATAAAGGTTAGTGATAATAGAGAAATTAAGAGATGTTAAAATATTGCAGTAAATCTCAGTAAATCTTATAATAAATGCAGAGAGCATTAAATTAATAAAAGAATTAAAAATTGAAATTAACAACATAAAGAAAGTTAAAAATCTTTTAATAAAAAACATGATAGATGTCTTTGAACAATGATTCTATAATAACCGAACATACTCTATAGAATTATTAGAGAAAAATTCAAATACAAGGTTAATCTCCTCTGAGTAAGGATCAGTAAAACTAATTCTATTAATTTTAATTAATTCCTTTTTATTTACTTCTTTTGTTTATTACGATAATAAATTAAAATGATTCATTATTATTTAATGTTAATTCTCTTACTATCTTTTTATTGATTCAAAATAGTAATAAAATTGAACTATTAATGAAAATAAATGAATACTAAACTTAATACATAAAACATATAATATTACATTGATGGTCACTTGATTATTATTTGATAATAATTTATAAATAAATCAACAATACATTTGCTTTATAATGAAAATGATATAAATAATCTGAGTTTTAGATTGATTGTGAAAAATTATTGTAATGATACTTAAAAACTATTCATATCACATTATTTTCCATGAAAACTATAAAAGAAAAAACAAGAATTAGTTAGATAAGTTAAGATTAATTGAATTTGTTACAATACTTTCATAAAACTATTGTAGAGCCAAAGATTGATTTAATGAATGAAAAATATTTAATTGTTAAGAATAAGAGATATAACCATCAAATACAAAAGAAAGAGATTAAAGTGGGATACAAGTCATATTAGGATATGTGAATTCACTCAAAATATGATTTTTCACCATTTGACTATAAAATGTTAATGAGTTAGAAGAAATAAAATAAAAACAAACACAATATTCATGATATAAGTAAAAGCATATTTCTTGATCCACTGAGTTTGAGAAATTAAAGAGAAATCGCCAAGAATCAAAGGATTATTGTAGAATGAGAAATAAAAAGAATGACAAGGATATTGATATAAGTTAAAGAGAAGGACACCAGAGAATGTAAAGATATATTTAATACGAAAAGAATGATGTAGAAATGGACTAGGTAATGTAATTGAACCATCTAAGTATATTGTTATTGGTGAAGAAGATTTAAAGAAACAAGAAGTTGAGAAGAAAGGATTGTAGAATAGTTGTCAGAATGAGAAGGGGATGAAGGGAGAACAGACGTTATTTGAGGACGAAATAAGACAAATCCACGGAGGTAAT